ATAGTGACAGCCTTCCCTTTCAGAATTGTGCTTTTGCCCCATTTTATTTCCCCTGAAATCGTAGCAGCTGAAGCCAGACTGTGGATTTTTTACATACAGGGAGGTCTGGCTGGTGAATACTGTTGGTTTTGGCAAATCTTTTGTTATTTTACTATTTGTATGTAAAATATATAACAGTAAGAATGCAAAAAACATACAGAGCCAATATTTTGAATGCTAGACGTGGACAGAAAGGATCCTGCAGAGGTCAAATTAATCTAGGGATAACTGGGGTATTTCAATGCTTTAGGAAGCTTGGCGTGTATTAAAGGGCAACAGTTTAGAGTCAACGGTATACATCTCATTGATTTCTTTATGATTAAGTTTTCACAGCAGCCTTTTCTTGCTGGCTAATACAACGATTTTCATGGGCTGCAAGTCTATATAATGTGACATGCTGTACTTCTCAATAGATTGCATTTCTGTTTGCAAAAAAAGATGTCTTTTAAGCACCCAAAATTCAGCCTGTGTAGTTTCATGCTTTTGTAAGAGTCTCACCTGCTTTGTTACAATTCAGCCCTGTTGAGCTGCTGTAAAAGATTGCAATCCTGGCCTCAGGAACTTACTATCTAATTTAGAATAAGATACTTTAATCAGTGATAACAAATATCAGGGGAAAATGGAAGAAGAACAATACAGGCAATAAGATCAAGCAATTACAAAAGGTAACAAAATTATTTTGATTTTCGAATTTCCCCATCAGATCTTAATACCTAATATTTTGTTAATATTTTTTCCTACCTTTTCAAAGTCAGCTCTGCACAAACTGAGCAATCCTGAACTCACAGGAGTTCCAAAAGTGATTTCAAAAATTTAAACGTGTTGCATTTGTGAATTCTGTCTTGAACTATCTCCCAGGACCTGAAACTGACAGCGCACAGAATGCCCACCAGTTTCCTTAAGCAGTATTAAGATAAGCAGTTACTCATACCAAAAGTTCCATGAACACCAGCTACTTTTGAAAACACATGCATTGTCTATTCTATTTTTGTTCCTTCTCATATTCATACACAGCATGATCTAAAGCTTTTCTACTTCTCATTATCAGACCATTTTCAAAACTGTACATTCTCACAGTATCAAAGCACATGCTCTCTTCTTCAGCAAAGGTATCTTTCATGCTGTACCCATAGAGGTCTGCAGGCATGATCCCATGAAATCACACTGCCATTAATGCACTTTTTGTCCTCAGACAAGGAATAGCAACCTGCCATTATGATTTCCCCTGAGCTGTATGCTTGGCCATCCAAGCCAAGACTTCCTTTGTTTTTCTTGAACCTCTAAAGTGAGATAACCTCATAGTCCCAATCTCAAACTTTAAGATTTTTAATTTCTGACTTTTGTGCAAATAGAGGTTTTTACCTCAAACAGAAATTATGCTTCCAAAGTTTTGAATATGACCATGTTAGCCTTCTGCAGTATGTGTTTACCAAAATAGCTGCTGGTGATACAAGCTGAGAGAGGGGAAACCCCAGGACATGCACCATATGGTGACAGGGACAGCAGCAGAAACAGCAAGTACTAATTAAAACAGTTCTTCATGGCTTCAAAATGGCTTTTCCATGAAGCATTAACAATTGTTGGTTAATCCTTCCTTATGATTGCTTAATTCTGAATAAACACATCTCTTAACTTTGGAAAAAGTTTCTTTCCTCCTTCTCCCTTTTTTAACATTTGAAATACAAGTATTATAGTAACCATGGTATCCTGATGACACAATGGTTACCATGAGAACAAAGCTGAAATAGTGTCATCAGAGCCCCTTCTCTCTACTGTGTGTTGAGTTTTATATTTAATAGAGATAGCCAAATTGCTGCCACCCAACCTGGTCAATTCTATCCTGCTTCAATTGGGTTTCAAAGCTCCTAAAAGCAAAGCTGTGCTGGGCTGCTTCCTTCCATCTTAGCACGGCTAGTTTTGCTTCAGGGCAGCAGTACCACCACTTTATAAGATAAGTCAGCACAGCAGCCAGGTAAGAGTGTAACTACATTGCAGCAGATTCCCCTAAGACAGTCATATCCCCAGGGCATACAGTACAACCTTTGGCCCTGTGTAAAATGGCAGTTCTTCCTCTTTGCTTGCCAGACAAACCAGATTTTAAATCACATTTACTTAACTGTGCTAGAAGATTTATTTGCTAGGTTAGCAAAGGATCTCTCAATGCATGATTTTGTGTGGTCCAGTCCTGCAATAACTTCTGCTCAGAGAGTGCTTTGTACTCACAGAGGGACACATTGGCTTCAGGGGTACTATCTAAGTTCAAAGATGCAGCCTGTTACAGGACAAGAGTGCTGAAGCAGGCACCAGGACTCAAGACAACACTGACTCAAGTTGGACATGATTCATCTCTATGAGTGCTCCTGTGTGCTGGCAATTCAGAAATTAGTTCAGATTCTGTGTTACCACCAGTTTGACTTGCTGTGAACACCAAGTGCTACCCTCCCCTGTGGCCAGCACACCCTATTGCTACACGTCAAACAGACATTGCCAAAATGCTGTACCCAGAAGGGAGCTCCAGCTCCAGATAAGCAAATGCTATCCCAGTTAGTTTCCTCAGAGAAGCTCCTCTTTCTTTTATTGTAAGAACCTCTGGACATGACTCACTGCAGATTGTTTGTTCATTTTGCTATATATATTTCCCAAATGCTATTTTAAGTTGCATTTCTCCCTTATGCTCCTACCAAGTTTACTCAATGAAAACAACTCTCTAGTTTTTATTTCATATTTAACCAAAACAAATGTGATGTGGTTCTGTTCAACCCAGTAGAGATAATTTCATTTGTACCATGCATACAGAGATAAAAAAGTGGTCAGAGGGAAAGACATGAAGGATACTACAAAACAAAGGGGCCAACTAAACAGGCATTATACAAAGCTCCATGTATTTTGCCCTTTTAACAAAACATTTCTACACCAACCAAAGTCAGTTCCTGCATATGGCTCACATACATTTCCTTCCTCCTCTGACCAGAATCTACTACCCAGATTCTTCCTAAATCTTCTACCTACTACTTGACTTTTTTACCCCATTGTTTCACACAGTTCTTTCTGTTTCTTTGCCTTAACCTTACACACCTTTCTTGGAAAATCAGAACAGAGAGTCATTGTCAAAGATTAACTGCAAAGATTCCCTCAAAACCACAGAATAATGCAGGTCGGAAGGGATCTGTGGAGGTCATCTGGTCCAATTCCTACTACAGGCAGGACAAATGTGGAAGTTAAATGAGATTGTTCGGGGCCTTATCCAGCTGAGTTATGAGTACCAAGTACAAAGATACCACAGTGTCCCTGGGCAGCCTGTGCCAGTTGTTAATCACGCTTACAGCAATAGTCATAATTTCTTTGTATCTGAAGGCAGCTCTTTCTACAACTTAAGAGTGCATTCCTCCTGCCTTCAGTTCTTTTGCAATGCAGAGTCTGATTCTGTCTTTATTACTCACTGTTAAGTAGGTGAAGACAGCACTAGGATCCTCCCTTTGCCTTTCCTTATTCAGGTTTGGCAAAAAAAATAACAAAAACAAACAAAAAAAAACACCACAACCAAAAAACCACAACCAAAAAAACTCCCTCAAAAAATCCAAACAACAACTGATCAACCCTCAGCATTTTCAACCCCTCTTTGCAGCAGACCCCTCTACTATACTCTCCACAACCTCTCTCTTGTGAAGCTGCATCTGGAGTTAGGAGTCTCCCTATACAGATACCTTACAGAGGGAAGAAATCCCTTGTCTCAGCTGCTGCCTATGCTTTTGCTAACATAACCTGGTATGCAGCTGGCCTTCACTACTGCAAGGGCACACTGCTGATTCTGGTTCAACTTGTCATACACTGGGACTCTCACACCTTTTCCTGCAAAGCTGCTCTCTGGCCAGATGGTCCCCAGCTGGTTCTGTCACATGGGATTACTCCAATACAAAAAAATACAGTGCAATACAAGACTTTGCACAAATGCACAAAACTCTACATTTGCCTCAGAACATCACAAAGTTTCTGTTGGCCCATTCCTCAGCTTCTTGACATCCCTCTGAACTGCAGCCCCAATTTTGTTTCATTTGTGAAATGAGGGTATAGTCTGTCTCCTCATGTAGATATTGATAAGTATATTAAACAGCAACAGTACCAAAGAAATATTACTAATAACCAGTCACCAGGTAAATTTTGAATTGTTGACCACTACCCTTCAAGCCCTGGGACTCAGCCAATTTTTCACTCACCTTGCAGCTCACCTATCATTCCATATGTACCCAATTGTCTACAAGGATGCTATAGGAAACTAAGTCAAAAGCCTTGCTAATGTCAAGGTAAACAGCATCTACTGCTTTCCTCTTGTTCCCTGAACTAAACATAATACAAGACAATCACACTGGTCAGGTATGGTTTGCCTCTGGTAAGCCCATTCTTGATGTTCCCAGTCACCATCTTCTCCTTCATGTGCCTAAAAATCACTTCCAGGCAAATCTCCTTCATAACGTGCCCAGTGACTGAAGTGGGTCTGACCAGCCTGCAGTAAAACAAATCTTCCTCCTTGCCCTTTTTGGAGATGGGCATCACATTTACCTTCCTCACGTAACTGGGTACCTCCCCCCACAACCTTTCAAAGACAAGAAAAAGCATCTTTGTACTGACATATTTTCGGAGTAGCCTTTTGTAGAAACAAACAAACAAAAACCACAAACAAAACAAAAGGAAAAAGGAAAAAAGAAACAAGAAACAAGAAACAAAACCCCAGTCAAACAAAAAAAACACAACTAACCCTCTATTACTGAAGGATCTGCCTTTGGTAGTTTGAGGATACTTGCACAGAGTAAGTGTATCTTCATCACTTCTTTGCATTACCTCAGGACAAGGAAGAGGTGGGAAGATATCACCTGACTTTGAAGCCAAATGTAAGCTGGCCTGAATATGGTTTGGAAAAGCCTTAAGGAAATGTGGATACGTTCATTTTGTATGACCTCACATACCTGATGCAGAACTATTTAGCTGGACTTGAAGCATTTCTCTCCTGAGTTTACAATGGACTTCATCATCTCTCTCTGCCATCTCTGGTTAGCCTTCTGGCTCTTTTATTCCACCATCTCTGTGTAAGACCTGTCCTGTTTAAAAGACAGTATTAACTGAAGTAACCAAAAGGGGGAAAAGAAATATAAAAGCTTGACAGGTTCCACTGGACTCTTCCCACTAGAAGAAGGATTAATCTTCTCCTTAGAATACAAAGTGGGAAAAAAAAAGAATAAAAAGGATGCAGCCCATATGCAGCAACATGGCCAGATAAATGCAGCAGATCTGGCTAATTTGAAAGAACTGATCCATCTGGGAGCAAGGCCCAGAGCTGTTGCATTACTTCTTACTGCTACTTCACTACTTTCCCCCAGGACAATGCAAGTCCACTGTGATGTTTTATCTGCTATGTTGTCAATAGGACCCTCCTCTTTTTAGAAATAACAACTGAGTGGCACAGGAAGCGTCAGATCTACAGCTGAAGAGCTCATCTTTCTTCTGAAGGCATCACCTTGGTGTTTGGAGAAGGTTTTCAACACAGAAAGCTGCTCCTACTCTCATTGCCGCAGAGCCTCAAAAAAAAAATATAAAAATTACTCACAATGGTGCCTGTGATTCCACAAAGCTTGCATTTATGTCTAAGAACTGGGCTGGTGCTAGGTCATAGCTTCTAGTGCAGGTCAGCTGTTTTTCTACAAATGAAATGCAGGAAAAGGAAGCAACCTCACCAGTACACCCCATGGAACACTGACCTTTGTGGGCTTGTCTTGCAATAAAATTAAAACCCTCATAGGCTATTGATGTTTACCCTCCAGAAGGCTGATTTGCTTGTATGAACCTAAGATTTGAGGTTTAAGAAGAAAAATAAAGTATCTCTGTAGCAAAGGCAGTCCCAAAGAGCAGCCCCAACTCACATCCCTCATCCACTAACAGTTACTTCACCAAACGCAGCATGTTGTGAAAGCCTGAACACTCTTTGCTGCAAGCAGTTGGAAGGTCAAAAAGGAAATGAAAACCATTTAGAAATTAGCTGAACTAGATTTTCAATGAATTTCTGAGCCACAGAATCAAACAGCCATACAGATTAACAGCAACACAAATATGGCAGTGTAATAGTTTCAAATACCAACATTTTCCAGCTGTTCCCAGCTTAACCCTTACCCAGGATCCCTTACCTGGTCCAACAGCAGCCCCAGACCGAGCTTTGTGTAAGTGCTTCGCTCCCAGCAAGATCAGACTTTACCCACAACCATACCAGTAGATGCCCCAAAATTATTCAGTACTGAAGCACTACCTCAAACTCGGCTCATCAGCTGTGCTTCACCAACAGTTCAATCCTGATCCCAGCTGTAACCCAAGTCAGCAATCTCTGCCTGCCTACCAGAAAGCTGCTGCCAGAGTCAACAGTGAAGTACCTAGCATAGCTGGCAATAAAACCAGCTAATTGGTCACTGAATCTCTAATCTTCACCCTCTGCCTCATGTTGGATGCTAACCTCACCCGAATCTCACATTTAAATTCTTCCTAATTGCAGCAGGCTTGTGATTTTGGCCTTCCCCTCCAATGATTCTTTCTCATTGCCCTCCACAGACTCAAGCTAGGCCCTAGCCCTGCTACAGCCTGACTGGCTGGGTGACAAACCCTAATGCCAGATTGCAGCCAGTCTAAATTCAAGCAAATCATGCCCTAATTGGTTCAGCCATATACTCAACCCTAAAAGTTGGCCCCTTCTGACAAAATTTTAACAGAGTATCTGGTAGACCAATTCCAACATACTCTCTGCAGCAAGCAGTTGACAGCTTACAGGATACCCAAATTCTGCTATTCAAAACCAGCTGGGGCAGGTTTGGGCTGTTTGTCAAAACAGCCAACCCCCAAACCTAAATGAAACTCCTAACTCAGCACAGAGAAGCACACAGCAGTAGTGCCTGTGAGTTTAATGTCATACCTCCTGCACTTTGGTAAGCCAAGAAGCAAAATGGCTCCTCAGAGTAAAGCAGAGAAGACTTGTTGCCTCTCAACTATTCACTGCTCTGGCCCTGTTCCCTTGCAAAGCTACTGTGCACCTCAAAGCAACAAGCAGCAGATGGCTGGTACGGTATCTAACAGCATTTGGGACCAAGAAGAGCCAATTCCCTGGAATTCTAAGAGGAGTTCCCATAACAGGCTCATTCCAGGTTTTCATGCCACTGACTTTTGGAAGGGAAGAGGATACTGAACTAGTCCAGTAGTAACTGAGGGGTCCAGTTTTGCCTCTTACATCAAATTCTGACTCACCCTGCACTGATACCGACTCGCAATTCTTTCCTAATTGGGAAAATCACTAGGATAGTACTCACTGCCAGAATTCTGGGTCATGAAGTCATTCTCTGACTCAGAAGGTTTACAACAGCTGTGGCAGTGATATGTGCTGTAGGTGAGTCATGTTGAACTGTTAGCACAAACATAAAAATCTTATAAACCAAATACATAAAGAATTGCATTGACCCACCTAAATTGTAATCTTACATTTGTTACTCCATAGCAAAGGACTTGACAATGTTTTATTGTGCATTCAGTTTTCAGAAATGCAAAATTTAAAAAGTAGTTACTAAGACACTTCTCATCATATGAATCCAAAGCAGCTTTTTTAAATTCAGAGGCTAAAATTCTAGCTGATATAAATTTCCTGGCGCACATTGAATTTGTGGAGGCATACAGATTTAAAACAGTTCAGAATATGATTCTAGATTCATGAGATGAAAACCAGTGTTTAGTGATTATGTAACTGCAAATGCAGATATGCCTCAAGTGCAGCATGCATATAATGTATCTAACACTATATAACAAAATATTCCATGCATATTCAGAGGTGGAAAATTCCCTGTTCAATTTAAATTGTAGGAGAGATTTAGATAGATAAATACTCATGGGGTTTCCAATCAATAATTCCAGTAAATAAAATTAAGAAAATATATATTAAGTAACCCAGCGGAATTACTGACCTTCAGTGAGGTAATTTCACTGACCTGGTAGGCCTCCATTACCTGAACATCTAATGCTTTGACTCTCCAGTAAATTAGGCTAGTAAAACAAACATCACAGATGAAACTCTATGATATTCAAGTCAAACCACTGGGAAAAACTCAGATCTCCAGCCAGGGGTTCTAAAGTATGTGCTTAACAAGTTACAACCTTTTTAAGGACAACTGATCTGAGGAACAAAAGGAGTACAAGGTTGCACCACAGTATCAAGTTGGGGGGGAAAAAAAAGAAAAGGCTTAAAATAGTCTTTGAGATTCTTTCTTCCCTCCTATCACTTCACAACAAGGGTGCAAGTTCAGGCATCAGGTGCTGGGGTTTTATCAGAATAAAATGGGTTGCCTTTGGTGGAGCAAAGTAGGTTTACAGGGGATGAGGAATCAGCCATGTTGCCTACATGTAAGGCCAGCGTCATGGCTCTGGTTTTATAAGGCATCAACTTCCCACCTTCTGACCTGAGTTTTTTCATGCGAACTTCAGCTCACCAGAGGCACACTCTTTTACACAAAGTCAACCATGCTAGCTAATGTGTTTGCACCAAGCCACAGGGACCCATGAGGTCTAGCCACTGTTCAGATGTGGGCCTGGGAATTTGGGGACTGAATCATAGAATGGTTTGTATTGGAAAGGACCTTAAGATCATCTAGTTCCAAACCCCCTGCTATGGGCAAAAACACCTTCCACTAGACCAGACTGCTTAAGGTCTAGTCCAACGTGGCCTTGAACACAGCCATGGATGGAGCATTCACAACCCCCTTGGGCATCCTGAATAACAGGAACAAACCCCTGAGAAGGTGTAACTGCATCCTAAAATGGTGTCTCAGCCCTCTCTGAGAAGGGGGGGAGCAGCTGGCAGTTTGCGGCAGCCGGTGCTCCGCCGTCAGGAAGCGACGGCAGCCCAGAGGCGAGGATGGAGGCACAGCCTCCACTACCCACTTGGGCCTACCGGAGGAACCTGCCGACCCCGGGGTCTCGCTGCGGCTGCGGCGCGCCAAAGATCGTGGGCCGGCTTCCCTCTGGCCGCCGCCTAGCTCTCCCGTTAGCCGCCTGTTTCATTCATGCTTTCTCCTTCACCATCTCTCTCTGAGGGAAAACGGGAGCGCGCGTAGGCGGCCGCTGGAAGGCTCCCTGTCAGTCAAGCGGCCGAGCTGAAAAGAAGGCGAGCGAGGGAGAGGGAGGGACAACAGCTTTCCCGGGGGAGGGGGTGGTTGTTGTCCCTGCCGATGCTAGCCTCGCAAACCTTCCCGGCGGTATCCGCAGAGACGGGGTGCGGGGAAGGCGGGAGCGGGTTTGCACCACACACCTTCCCGCCGCTGGGGGGGGGGACAGCGGCGGCTCCTCTCTTGCCCGCTCCTCACCTGTTCCCGCTCCACCACACACCCCTAGTCGGCAGAGGCGAGTGCTGTCTGGCGGGAGCGCCGAGCGGGGGGGGTCGCTGCCTCCGGTGGAAGGGAGGTAGGGCGCTGTGGCGTTCTGCCGGGGGCTGCGGAGAGGAGCCGCCTGCCCCCGCCGCTCGCCGGAGGGCGGCCTCGGTGTGTGTCAGTGGTGGGGGAGTACGTGCGGTGGCGGGTAGCTCTCGGATCTCCCCGGGTCTGTGGAACTTCCTCACCACCTGAGGGGCGCTTCGTGGTCCCGGGTACCAACCAACAGGGGGTGCAGGGTGTGTGAGGGGAGGTTTGCGGAGAGGCTTGGGGCAAGTTGTAACGGCTTCAATGGTCGTACCGGTTCTGGGGATGGGGGGAGGTCTGCTGGCCGGCGCTCGCACCCTGCAGAGGGCTGAAGTGGGCAGGGCGCTCAGCAGCGAGAGGGGAGGGATGGGTGCGGGCGGCTGGCGGCGGCGGCGGGAGTGGGGGTGCCGGTGCCGGTGCAGTGCGCAGCAGGGCTGGGGGCTTGGTGGGGAAGAGGCACGGCGTATACCAACCCACTGCACCCCGCAGCGGGCGGTGCTGCCTTTGTGCTCCTTCCGCACCTGAGTGCGGGGCGGAGAGGGACGGCGCAGGTGGGGGCGGGCACGGGAGGCAGTGGCGGCTGTGGATGATACCCGGAGCCAGGGAGGTGAGGTAAGACAAGGCTAAACCGTGCCGTGCTGCGGTGGCCGTTCCCGGGGCTGCGAGGGGCGGCTGCACACCCTCGGGCTGTGCCTTAGGCCGGCGGCGGGCACGGCAGGCTTGGCTTTCCCGGCGGCCGCTTCCCGTTGCGTCCCGCTGCACAGAGAGGAATGCAACAGCAGCAGCCCAGTTCCCCGACGAAGGACGATGCTCGGAGGTGGGCAAGCCGCAGTAGCCCGGCCGATTCGCGGAGGGGCTGGGGAGGGGGGAGCCGCTGGTGGTGCTCGTAGAGCTGCTGGGAGCTCTGAGCCCGTCTCCGCCCGCTGCCTTCCCGTCCCTGCTCGCCGGGCCCTGGGCGGGGGGCGGTGTGCACAAGGCTGGGTGCTTGCAGTATGAATTTACGTTTTCCCCCGCCGAATAGCACGCCAAGACGCGCGAAGCAGATTCTGGTGTATGCGCTTCGCTGATCTCGCTTGGGAAGGAGTGTGGGATCTGTGGGAGGCTGCCTTCAGACCGCTATAGTGAGTAGCTAACTGCTGGCTGCAGTTAAAATTTTAGCAGCAACAGCTTTTAGATGCTTTTCGGGAATATTGCTCTCTTTGAGCTGATGTGACGGGCATACCACTTTCTACTAGGTGGCAGTGCTGAGATAGGATAGTTGGCGTTGTAGCTAATAGTGTTGGGAAGCTGGGGACTTGCGTGCAGCTGGATTTTGGAGTTCTGGCTGGAACAGCAGAGGCTTCACATGTGCTCAGTTGAGCTTATTTGCAATTTTTTTAAAACGTTACGTAAAGGTATCTTGTGCAGTTACGTTATAGTGAGACTGATTTTTACACGATATTTTGAAAAGACAGTAAGTTTAGTAGGTTAAGCCTTTGTATTACAGCATTATTTACAAAGTTTCTGGGGTTTGGATCCAGCTTCACAGGCTACCTACCACCTGACTGGCAAAGATTTACAGCTGAGGATCAAATTCTGTTGCTTGGGTTAGAGCCGTAGCTGATTCAAAAGAAGGGTGGCTGCATTGGCCTGTTTATTTCATGAGCGTTGTATATAGTGACGAAGCAGGTTTTTTTGAGTTTGATTACAGTGTTTTGTTAAGCAGTTTGAGTGAACTCTTTTGTTGTATAAATAATAATGGATCAAGTGCAAATCTTGCACAGACTCAGAGCTCTCATTGACTTAAGCAGAAGTTATGAGGTTAAAAAAAAAAAAAAAAAGTGCTTGCCATACGCTTGTTTTGCAGTTTTTTTCCCTTTGGAGTACCAGAATGTAGTCCTTTTGTCAATGTTTTCATTGCTGTGTTCGACTTAGGGTTGTATATCCAAAGCCAAGGATTGTCCAGGCGCGCAAAATGCACCCATTGAGAGAAAATTTTGCATATTGGTTTGAGTGTGAATAAAATGGACACCATAGATCTCATTTTAGGTTTGCACATAATGGGTCCCAGCATTTTCAGTAGGTATGTGCAGGGAAGTAAGCACATGTTCATTTGTTAAATTAATTTTGTTGTTTGAATAAGTTTTATTCTTTGTAATATTTTGTTGCTGGTTTTGTTGTTTGGGTTTTTTGTTTTTGTTGTTATTTTCTTTTTACTCCTCATTTAGCATTATCCTTGTGGTTTAAGGGCTAAGCTTTAAAATGTTTGTCACTCCACTGGAGAGAGAGTTGCCAACTGAATGTCGTGCATGTAAAACAAGTCTTTAAATAGCAAGACCACCAATTTAGGAACAACTTAGTATATAAATGGTAGAATACACAACAATAATTCAGATCTCAATGATTATAGTATGCATCTTTTGATATTAATAATGATAAAGTGCAAAAGCAAAAACATACATTCAGCTTTTAAGGACCTATACTGTTTTGAAATGGAAGAGCTGTTTTCTGTTATGCAGCTTATGCTTAAAAACGGACAGGGGGCCCCTTGAAAAGTTATCTATGAACATTTGTTTTGTTTTCTGGATCTTGAAATCCATGTAGCAGGATGTTTTCCAGTATCTGCTTTCTCAGTATTTGGAAAGGCAGATGTTGCTGCACAAGGAGCCATAACGCTGCTTTGCAGCACGGTGTGGGTGTTGGGGGAGGAATCGCTCTAACTTTCTGCTTCTGCCTGAAAAGAATCAGCCATTTATCTGTTTTGGAGAGAGATGAGATAGGGAAGTTAATGTAGAAATTAGGAAATCCTGTTTTGAGAATGAGTAAACTTGCCCATTAGTTTAAAGAGTACCACTTGCTTGGCTTTACCTCCCAGCTGTCCACAAACAAACCTTCACCAAAAGTAGGTTTTGTTGGTTTAGTTGTTTAACCAGATCACTCAGTTATGTGGGATGTTAAGTCAAAAGGCAGAAAAAGACAGTGGATACTACGGCCCTGTCAGCTTTTGTAGGAGAGACTTTCTGAACTGTAGCTTTTTAAAAAGTGCTTGACAAAGTATTTTTGACAAACGTGCTTGACAAAGTTGTTATTTTTTTTTAGTGAAGCAAAGTATTTTACTTCGCTAAAATAACTGAGAATTTTGCTGTTGGAGTTCTCTTTCAGTTTGCTTCTTAGCCTGTGTAGACCACAGCAAAGTGTGGCTGATGGGACCCAAGATTTAACCTATGATAGGGCATGGGTTCTTGGTTTAAGCTGACACTTCAAAGAGTTTATTTTTAGTTTTCAGAGACAAAGTGTTTCTACATTAGAGGATATTTGAGACTCCCTGTGAAAAAAAACCCACAACAGAACAACCAAACACACAAGTGAAAGTTAAGAACAGAAGAGCTGCTTTGTACTAATGCATCTTTAGCAGTTTAAGGCCAGAACAGATGCAGAGTATGTGTATGCTATATGTATTTGTGTTACTGCATAGCGAGTGAGCTATTAAAAAGGCAAAGGTCTCGAATGTCTCTGGAAGTTGGCAGGATTTTTTTATCTCATCATGGGGTTCTTTCCCAGTAATTCTTTTTTGGCTCTTTTCAGACTCCTCCCTTAATGATACGGAACCAACTTGACCTGTGATCTTGAGCAGCATTTTAAAAAGCTAGTATGGTAATAATTTACACATTAGAAGTCAGAATCGTGCTCCTGTGTTGTAAGACTCCTGATTTGTGACCAGCTAGAATTACAGTAAGTGGTTCTGTATGTTCTTGGTTTGTGCCTTTTTTCCTTTTAGCCCTTTCTTGCTTGGAGTTTTGCTGCATGTAACCTGTAACATGTAACTCCTAACCTGTTCAGGGCATGAGCAGCCTTTCATAATTTGTTTCACTGGGGCTCGAATCCCTGTTTGGCTCTCTAAGAGATGGGTGAAATGAAAAGTTAACAATCTGACCCTGGTTTAAGATCAAGGGTAGCTGCCCAAAATATTTAGTGTTTTGAAGAGGTGGACCTCTAGCACAAAAAACATATTGCTTCTTGTTTCCTTTCTGATCCTGTATTATAATTGGTTTCATTCCGTGTTTTACTGCTGTGCTTATGGGTATAGCAGCTAGATAGTGTAACTTGCATTTTTATAGCAATGCTGACCTGTGGACACAATAGCATGTGTCAGTGGGAACTCTTGGTTTTGACACAAGCTCATCCTTCAGGTATAAGCAACTCGCTTAAGTTACAGAGGGTCTTTCTTATTTATCATCAGATAAACACCTTTAGAGTAACCTTGTCAATCACTGTAGCATAATAAAGCCATTTAGAGCATCGTTTCTAAAATAATTGAATAAACGATGGTGGGTTCAAATACCAATGAGTATACAAGAGTGACAATTGTATGTAATACCTTTATGTGCATGAATTTATTTAGTATGATAGCTGTCTTCATAATCCTGTGTGTGCAAACTTGGTACTTCCAGACATGCCAGAAGTTCAGACAGATTTTGAAAGTTTCAGTAAAAAGTTGCTAATAGCTGCAGTATGCATAGCCAGCTTGCTAGTTTTGCCCACTGTCACACAGCTAACATGTCACTATCCAAACTGATGTCTCTGCACGTACACCACTTCATCAGACAGCATAACCTATGACACAGCTGGTCTTAATTACACTACTTTTCTAAATTCCACAAATGTTGTAATTCATATATTACTAGAATTGTTCTACTGCTCGTTTGTCCACAGATCATGTTTCTTTAAAAGTGCTGGTGAGCACCCAGGACTCTGAAGACAGCAGTTTTGTGCAAGATAAGAATGTTCCTTAAAGAAGCTGATGGAGGATAGAGCTCCAGAGTTCCTGGCAGACACTGACAGCATAAGATGGCACCGTAGTCTAGTCTGGAATTGTAAGTCTTAAGAAGGACGAGATGTCCTTGGCTTTACAAGGAGTTATTGAACTGATGAAACTTAATAGTGGGCCAGAGTCTGCTTTCAGGACCTGTGTAGATGTGTTTGTTTCTGTTCAGTTGCACTAATGGCTATGGAGCGATTAGGCTTTTTTTACATGTGAGTGTGA